AATAATGATTTAACAAAATCATCCCAAGAGTCTCAGGAACAGAGAGAGAGAAAGAGAGAGAGATTTAAGCTATCTATTATATTATGTAATGGTCAGTAAATGTCCAGCAGGATCTCATTTTCTTCCAAAGAATGAGACCAAACTAAAAACCTAGAGTTTGGGTAGCGTTAAAATCCGATTCCAGATTTAGCAGCGTGAGCTCTTCTCTGCTTCGAATGAGCTGCTGTGTAATGCTCTCCCTCCCCATCTCACATGCCAAAAGGAACAGCTGATGTACCTTTCTCAAGGGCCTGGGAGCACGAGGCTAGCAATCTTGCTGGCAAGAAGACAGGGAGCACAGACATGGATATATGAGCAGAAATAACCACTGGAAAGATTAGGTACCTTGCGGCTGACAACTAAAAAAGTCTGTGCTTGTTGTAAGTACATCCCTAGAGATCAGTCCATAGTCATCATTTCCCCCCCTCTTCTCTCCCCAAAAGACGATGCAATCATCCTTAGCCCCCGCAGGAATAACTAGCTCAGATACTATGCACAGATGTCAGCTATTTTCATCTTCCTGCTCCCCTCCACAGATCTCCAGAAAATCAGCACCCGGTTGCCTGTTCTGCCAAGGCTTTGAATGAAAAGTGTGTTTGCTTTCCCCAGGGAGAGCAGCCTTTCTGTGCTGGGATCTATTGACACCTCTCCTGTGCAGGCCCCAGTTAAATATTAGCTTTAACCTCATGTGGGCCTATTCGGAAGCTGGTTGCTCTAGAAACGTACCTGGCAGGGCTCACAGAGAATATAAATGAGCCAGATCAGTGGCTCCAACATAATGGGCGCTTCCTCAATTATACAGGCTCTGGGCGTCTCAGCTGGGGATACACCGTTTGGTTCCTGTGGGGCACAAAAGTCAGATTCCTTGCTCATCTCTAGTTCTAGTCTTCTCAGTTGAGAACAAACAGACTGCAAGGATCAGGATAATCTGAAAGCCACCCCAGCCAACCAGGATGAGCTTATAATACTTTGGCTCCCTGTGCATCGTGTTTACAGGGGTGTTGGCTGTAGCCGTATTGGTCTAAGCACACAGGCAGACAAGGTTTAGGCATTTTTATTTTCATAGAGGGCATTTTTATGTATGCCCTCTATGAAAAGAACTTGAAGAGTAACCTCCTGTATCTGGACCCATAATCCAGTGAAGGTGTATGCACAATCTTCATATTTTTTACAATGCACCACAGAAATGTCACCCAACCCCTCAGCAAAAGATGGAGGCGCTCACCTGGAGCGTGCTCTGGTTTCATCCGACACATGGGCGCAAGCAGAAGCTCCCAGGAGTGTGAATGATCTGGCGACAAGATAATAAGGGCTGCTGTACACTGACAAAGTACACTCAGGGCCATAATAAGAGGCAGCCTCTACTCTGAACGCAGAACTGCCCTTCCTTCTTCAACCGACAAGGACAGTCAAAGGGCCTGGCCCTAATTTTATGGCAGTACAAAGTCGTAGTAGCTCCACTGAAATGGATGGTGTTGCACTGGGTAAGTGAGAAGAGGATCTAACCATGGCCCTTCAAAATGAAAGAAAAAGAGAACGACGATAACATCCCCACTGGGTGACAGTGGCTTTACAGCAGCTGCAAATCCTGCTTCTCAAGGTATCATCACCTTAATAAATCTGCAGCGCACTGTACATCATAGAAACAAATGCCCACATCTATGGGGTACACTTGCAGTAGAGGCACTGACCACTGTTCTGTAGCTTAAACCGAGTTGAGAGAGAGAAAACGTGGGTGAAACGCTTGTTGTCACTGCAAAAAGCAGCCTGCCAGCCCAGCACAGAATAAAAGACCCTATTCCAGGTGGGCACTGACTCCTCTGAGGACATGCAGCAAGGTTGGGAGAACGGGAAAGAGAGATCCTTGGGATTAAATCAAGGAATAGACGTCCTTCCTGTCTGCAAACTCCACCAGCCATTTGCTAAATAATGTCCAGGCTAGACAGAGTGAGGACCAAAATTGCAGCCAGCCTGAGCTCAGTTTTTTATCCACACAGCTGATTGCACCCATTGGGGTGGCAAAACCATCTCGAATGCCTTCCTTCTATACAAACAGGGTAACTGAGCACCCAGTTGCCATGGCTGGCTAGATAGATAGATAGATAGATAGATAGATAGAGTACAAGCAAAGCAAATATACATGTTCACGACACCGATTCTACTGCTGTTCCTGAGATGGATATGCTCTGGGGAAGTTGAGGGGTTTGGTGGGGAACAAATAGGATCTCTGCAGGCACACAGCTTCAGTGGTATGTTTGCCGAGGTAGAATTAAAAGAATCAGTCTGCATCGGGAGCTGATTGCATCAGTCGGTCTCTTCAGTCTGTCACTGAGACAGCTGCAATTTCCTTCTGCTAAAATCAGAGTGCGTGAATGGAAAGAACAGCCATGGCCTGTGGCCAGATCTGCTTTTGCTGTGATCCTGTCACATCACACCAGCTAAGAAAGGACCCAGATGGGGACCTGCATAGAAAACCCAGATGCTGCGGAGTGGGGTTAATGGCTCAGAAGAGGAGCACATCCCTTCAGAGTGCTACAAGGTCGTGAGAGAGCTCTTCAGCTGATGTGCAAAACTGTGTCTTGAGGTCATTCAAATCCTGACATTCCTTGCAAAAGCATTTGTCTAGTGTCCTGACCTCATTTCAGTGCGATTCGAGCCTGCCTCCTCACCTTTCCTTTGACCTTTCAGATTAACTCAGAATTGTGCTTCAAAGCTGGAACGAGCCGTTTCCTATTCACACCAGTCTGGTCTATCCTGTTAAAAAGGTACTGCACGTCTCATAGCCACACTGCGCTGCTTTGTGATGTGTTTATAACCTCAGGTTGAAGTTTTTTGGACACCTCCATAAGCCCTGGATAAAGACAGCTTAATTCTCCTCTTCGCTCTTGGGACAGCAAAGCAGCAGAAGATAAATCCCTTCTATGGGAGGGATTTCACCAAATCACAGAAATCCAAGGTGCCCCTCTAAATCTTCCCCCCCTGGGGCCAGCACTGCTCTGTCCCTGTTCCCTGGGACTTCGTCCCACCTGCTTTCAACAGTCTGATGTAATGAGGCTGCCACTGTTTCTCTTCGGGAAATTTTATGGTCTAAAAGCTGCCTTGTCATGAGGAAACACTGCCCTAACATTCATGCGAAATGTTCCACTACTCAGCTTCATCCCATTACAGCAGCCAGTTTAAATAACAAGCCCCTAGCTGATAAGATATTACGATCCCTTTATTTGGCCTTCTCTAATTGACTCCATGAATCACCACAAGTGGCTGAATAACGCTGGCTGAGCCCTCAGCTTTAATCTAGACCACGACAGCCTGTGGACATCAGACCTGAAAAAGCCAGACTTCCTCCTGCTTTTCATTGAGCGCCCTGCTGCATGCACAGAGCGGCTGCTTTCATCTGATAAAGCAAGTTATTATTAGCCAGCGGGGAGGAAAGTGGGCTCTAACGGAGCCGCAGCTGAAGGAACACAACAATGACAGAGCAGTAGCTGGATTGAAGGAAAAAAACCTCAAACCCTGGAATAGGACTCCAGCAAGAAGTACAAGTGTGTCCAGACTGCAGCCCTACTGCAGAGAGCTGGTCTCCAGGGAGGACAGCACCAGCTGGAGCCCAAGTCCTACTTGTGCCTCCATCCCATGCCAAGCACTGAAATATTCCTGCCCTCCTGGATCTGTCCAGCTTGAATAAGCAGAGGAGGGGCCTGGTGCATGTTTCCGTCCCAGACACCAGCCTTTGATGCCCAGTTCGAAAGATGGGATGATTGTCTGAGCCTCTTCTACCTACAGCGTTTCAGGTCTCGGGCTTTCAGGAGAGCTCTGCAGGCATCAGGCCCGTCCGCCCGCGGATTGCTGGATCCCATGCCGTGGGAGCCGGAGGAGCGCCTCTGAATTTAGTGCCACACAAGGCTGTTTGGGTAAATCCTGTATCTTATTAAACCAACTCAAAGAGTTGGAACAATTCTTCTTAGCAAGCTTTCGGGCACACACACCTCTCGTGAGGCTGCAGATGGCTTGTGCACTTCCTAAATTCCTTGAATTTAGTGGAGGCATGAACTGGACCCTAGTCACAGCAGCCCCCCTCCCAGCTGTAATCATCCAGGAGCTGTCCGCACTTGAACATTATTTTAGCCCAAGGGGAATTAAAAATCCAGTAGCTTTTTCCCCTGAATACCCATGTGGACGCAATGTGTTTTGTTTGGACTTAAAAGATAAATCCATTTGCCAAGGAAAACCTACTTCTTATCCACAAGTAGAAGGGGGTCACGCGGAGAGCTGGGGTGGCCATCATAGGGGACGCCCCGGTCTTCTGCGACTCTGTCCTCTATTGATACGAAACCCAACGCCTTTATGTCCTCTTTAGGACAAAAATAGAGGACATAAAGGGGTCCGGTTTGGTATCAAGAAGACAGACAGACTGTCCTCTGTGATGGCCACCCTGCGTGGAGTTGCTCCTGAATCGCTTCTTGAATATCCAAGCCCTTAAGCTGCCATGGGATGGCTGCCCCTGCAACCACCCCGGGTTGAGGGATGCTCTTGGGTTTTGCAGCCACTCTTAAGGTCCTGTTTGCCCATGCGCAGTTCATACCCACCCTGGGAAAATCCCATCTGTCAGTGGGCTCTCCTGTGGTTGAAATCCTTTAGAAAAGTACCCGCCAAGGCTGCACCCCCGACTCAGGATGGGAGCACATCTGAGCTCCTTCTCTAACCCCGGGGCCAAGCGGGCACAGCTATGCGTGCAGCTCCCTGCTGCTATCTGCTGGCCAAAGCTTTGGAAAGAGCCTGAAACTTTGCAGGGACACAGGAAGCTGGGCACCAGGCAGCCCTGCCAGGGAGCAAAGGGGCTGGGGAAGCGACGCACACAACTGCAGCTCCCCCCACCCCGACTTCTCTCTCCCGGACGCGGCGACTTTGCACCCCCGCCTTGCACAGTTCTCTTGCCCTATCCCTGCCCCGCCCCTCACGCTGTTCTCGCGAGAGCCCCACGCTCCGCCCTCTAGCATGGCGGCTCCTTGATCCGGCTTCCTTGCTGCACACACGCGGGCGCGATGCACTCGGACGAGGTGAGTGTCCAGCCCGCGGGGGTTGATTCGGTTCCGTCCGCTCTCGCCAGGCAGCTGCGTCGTGGCCAATCAGCGCCGGGCTTTTCGCGTGGAGTCGGCTGCGTCTCTGCCCCTCTCCCACGTGGAAGGCGCTGGGATGGGAGGTCCATGGGCGCAGCCTGGGCACGGATGGAGCTGGTGGGGTTTGCAGGGCCCCTGTACCACCCCCATGTTTTGCTGCACGGGCTGGAGGATGGGATGCTGCCACCTTCCTCAGGCGTGCAGGGTCCTGGATGAGGAGGGGAGCCTGCTGGGGGGGTAGCACCTATTCCTCTAGTCCTCCTCCACAGGGTGATGGGAAGCTGCAAAGTCTGTGCTGCTGCCACTGTCCCAGATCTGGAAGCCTGCTCGAGTCCCAAATGGTACCGGGGGCTGATCGCAAGCGTTTCTCCCATCAGCTCTGACCGCATCTGTAATAGCCGGGCTGGCGCTGCGGTGGCTGTAGGGGCTGTGCAAAGCAGCAGTCCCAAGATGTGATTTCCGTTCCTGGTGCATCTCTTCTGTGCCTTGGTTTAATCAAAGCAACATCAAAAATAAGGGTTGGAAGGGACCTCGGGAGGTCGCATCTAGTCTAACCCCCTGCTCAAAGCATCATCCCAGCTGAGGCTTTGTGGAGCTGGGGCTTAAAAACCTCCAAGGATGGAGACTCCACCACCTTCCTAGGTAACCGTTCTAGTGCTTCACCCTCCTAGTGAGAGAGTTTTGCCTAATATCCAACTTAAATCTCCCGTGCATGAGCCCACTGCTCCTCGTTCTGGGCTTGTTGCACCATTTGCAAAATGGTTAGCACAGACTCTGCCTCGTTTGTACTCAGGCTGCATTTCATTAGCTAGGCCTCCCATAATAATCTTGCTGGTGGCTACAGAGCCACAATGCGTTATGTTGCAGGACGCAATAACCAAATTTTGCCTCTCACAGGTCGTATGGGACACTCTCGGAAACAAGCAGTTCTGCTCGTACAAAATCAAGTGAGTATTTTAGCGTCCGGCTCTGTGAGTTGCTACTGGAAGGATGAGTTTCTTGGCCATGGGGACACGCGCTCTCTGAGCTGAGTAGGTCGTTACTCAGCATTTTAATTTTGTGCGCAGAAATAGCTTAAGCTGTCAGGCTGCTTCAGGAAGGCAGCGCTTCCACAAATGGGAGGTTGAGGGTATGGTTTTGAAGCAGTTTGGACTGACAAACACCAGGGAATCCAGAACTGGTGGAAAATAGGTCCTTGACTCATCCCAGTAACGCTTAGGTGAAAGGAAGCTTGTTTCAGAATAGTGCGTGGATATTAATTAGTTAAAACAGATCCTAAAAGCCATGGCTAAGTCAGAAGTCTGCCCATGACTTGCTGTATAACCCTTTGTGCCTCTGTGACTCAGTTTCCCTGTCTGTAAAGTGGAGATGATGATCTTCATTCTCACCTTGGCTGTTGTGTGGTTGAGTGTGCTTGAATTTGTACAGCTCTGAGATCTGCGAATAGATACTTCGGGGCTAGCGGCTCATAGAAAATCTCTTCCTTCTAGGACAAAGACCCAGAATTTTTGCCGCAATGAGTATAACTTGACGGGTCTGTGTAACCGGTCGTCCTGCCCTTTAGCAAACAGCCAGTATGCTACCATCAAAGAAGAGAAGGGTAAGACTGCCATGCTCCATCATGGGCCTGTTTGCTCTAATCACAGACGGCATTGTTCCCGTTCCCCCCAGCTGGCACGTCCCTTTGAGACTTCTCACAGCTTGAATGCATGCACGTTGTCAGAGGATCCAGTCAGCTATTCCTAGCTGTTGTGGGAAGTGCTGTATGCTAGATAGCTGCTGTACTCCATCCCAGCAGTGGCTGCCTTTCCGTGGGGCAGTCTGTGATGCTCCTTGTGGGGAAAAGATCATCCACCTGTGGATATTGGGCCTTTGCTGAGACCCAGTGGGGTCTCCAAGAAGGTGGTCAAGTTGATCTGATGCCATTTGATCTGATGGGCGGATATCGGGAGATGGGTCTGCTCGGTGGCTGGGGTTGGGTTACTCCTTGGAGCACGTGCCCTTCTGATCTCCATGAGAGGCTGATGTCAGACTGTTTCCTGTGTTCAGACTGATATGCCTTGGTCCTGAGGCAACTGTCCCAGAGCAGAGGGCTTCAGCAGTGACTCTGATGTGCTAAGCCTGGCTTACAGGTTGCAGCGTAGCTGAGATCACGTTTATTGTTCCTTTAGGTCAATGTTACCTGTACATGAAGACCATTGAGCGGGCAGCCTTCCCCAGTCGGCTCTGGGAACGGGTGAGTGAGAGGGAAGGTTATATTAATCTACCAAGAACGAGACTTAATACAACTAGCATATGGGCATCTAGCATGTGGGACATCTTTTAATAATAAGCCACTCTTACAAAAGAACCCCACAGCTCCCTGTTTCAACTGTCCCAAAGAAGGGTCTCTCAAGCAGGGATACTGACAGCTGTCCCTCTCTCCGACAGGTCCGGCTGAGCAGAAACTACGAAAAAGCTTTGGAGGAGATAGATGAGAACCTCATCTACTGGCCACGCTTCATCCGGCACAAGTGCAAACAGCGCTTCACTAAGATCACGCAGTACCTGATCCGCATCCGGAAGCTGACGCTCAAGCGACAGTAAGTGAGGGTGTATCGTTTTCCTCCCCACTTTTAGTCCATGCCCTCTCCTTCCTGCTTTCCCTGCAGGAGTTTTAACTTGCCTCTGTGAGGCCAGTTTTTACCAGGCAATAAGCATGGAGCATCCTGTAACAAGCCAAGTCCGGCCTCCGAGTTAACATTTGCTCATCTGCTGTACATCAGTGGTCAGCAGGCTGCAGTTTCACCAAGTATACCCTTCTTTGTCTTTTCTCACAGACGGAAGCTTGTTCCTTTAAGCAAAAAGGTTGAAAGGAGAGAGAAAAGGAGAGAGGTAATGTGACCCATGCCTGTAGTGTCCCAATTCCTTGGCTCCTCTGCGCTGTGCCTTTGGAAATGAATGGACTCCAGCTTCTCTTTCCCCTGTTTCTAGGAAAAAGCCCTGATCGCTGCCCAGCTGGATAATGCCATTGAGAAGGAATTACTGGAAAGACTGAAGCAGGAAACAGTAAGGCTTGCTGCCATCTTTGTCTTCTAGCACAGAGGCATGTCCATCTCGTGCTCCTTCTAAGTGTGCACGAAGCTGCCCTGAACCCAGCCCATTCTCCCACCGCTGTCCTTGCTAGCAGGAGTTTCACCTTGCTTAGGGTAGCAGGTGCATTCAGGTTGGGGGAATTAAGGGGCTGTTTTTACATAGCCATGCTGCTCACTTTGGGAATGCGGCTGGGACAAGGAAATCTGTGATATTCATGAGACCAGAACTACTGCTCAGTACCTCTGTGCTCAGCTTCGTGTACATTTCTAGCTGCATTTATAGCAGAGCTTTGACGAATCCCAGACCACGGGTAATGGTGTGGTACAGAAACATGCAAGAGAGAGCTGCCTTGGTGAATAACCTGAGCAGACTCCCCTGCCAACTGCAGTCCAACCCTTTGCTTCCCCATAGCCTGCGTTTTGGGAGGGTCCACTCGACACCTGCAGCAGTGCCAGAAGAGCAAAGAATATGCCCTTGAGCTAGAACCAACAGATCAAAAAAGTTCCTTTGGGAAGGCACTGAAACCTCCTGAACTTAATCTGTCCTTCTGCTCAGCTTTCTACTTCTGAGCAAGGAAGGAAGCTCAGACTCCATAGCTCATCCTGAGATCACCCCCAAACTCCAGACCAGGCACAGATCAGGTTGTTGTACAACACACCTTATTTTTCCACTATCTGGTACAGACAGCTCCTGCTCGTCTCCTGCTTTTTGACCTGAGACTCAGAGGGGCATTCCCAATAGCACCTGTCCAGTTCTCAGACATCTGATGATCATGGTTACCTTCCTGGCAAAGCAGGTATTTGTAAAGAAATCCATGCTACTTACCTGGTAAAGTAGGTATTTGTTTTGTTTTGTTTTTCTTCCAGTATGGGGATATCTACAACTTCCCCATTCATGCTTTCGACAAGGCTCTGGAGCAGCAGGATGCAGAAAGTGAGACAGACTCAGATGTGGAGAAGGAAGAGGAGGAGGAAGATGAGGTAATGCTTTGAAAAATAGTTCAAGGCAGGATGATTAAAATTCACCCCGTGTGGTGTTGGAGCCACAATATACATCTGTGCGTGGGATCTGGATATTAACCCGTCTTAGCATGGTAATGTGAGGAGTGTGAATTCTCAGGAAGAGGGGTGCATGAGTGGGCAACTGCAAGTTATTATGTATTCCTCCATGTCTCCATTCCCTTTTCAGCCTTCCTCACTTTTTTGTTAGAGGGCTACGCAGTAAATCAGAGTTGGATTCATAACTATGTTCGTAGGGCAGACCCAGTGCCCTCTGCAGAATCCATTGTTGCATAGAGGTCTGATTGCCTGCTACGAATTTTCAGACTTCTAAATGATTTTGGACATCAGTACCTGCAAGGTTTAGGCCCACAAAGTCAGGTTGAGAGCTACTGGCCACTTTTGCAGAAGGTGACACAATGCATGTCACTGCTGAAGACTGAATGTAACTTGCTGCCTAGCAAAGGCTTGAGGTGAATATACTGCTAATGGCTACAGGTGCGTGGCTGTTAGTTTGTCGTTCATAGTCTCTCTACATAGCAAATTAGCCACAGTGCCATGAGCTCTTCTATAAAGATCAATTCAGCACACTAACTATCCAGGCCTATCCATTGCTGGGCCTAAGCCCTTAAGCAGTGACTTCCTGGAGCCTTTTTGTGGTACACTGTTTCTGACCTACTGTTTTACAGGATGCAGACAAGAGGGAGTTTGTGGAAGCAGATGAGAGTGACCTCAGTGACTTTGAGGTATGTAACGCAGTGGGCTTGGGCCAGATCCCACTACGTATCACGTGCGAGAAAAGCAACATCCTCGTAAAGGTTCATTAGAAACCAGTAGAGGCTGAAGCTTTAAGTTTGAAAGTTTCCAATGACTAAAAATATCAAATGAGGGCAAGTTAGACTCTGATCCTCTTGATAGGCAGTCGTCCTCCAGCTGACTATTTTGTCTTTCTGCTTGTGGATCAAAGCTTTGTGGCTGGGATTAGTAGCAGAGCAGCTCGATTCATGTTTAATAATATGATCACACTGTACTTTGTCCTCATCAGTGCCCCAAAGCCACCAAAGGTTAGAGAAAAGGGAGCTAGGAAACACCAGATCAGAGTGATATGCACAGTCCTGTAGGGAGTGTGGGTTTAGGTCCAATCTGCAATGAGTATTAACAAGCTCTTTCCCCTCCTGCCCAGGACATGGATAAACTGGCAACAAGCAGCGAAGAGGATGATAAATCCTCCAGTGAAGAGGAAGAGACAGAAACGGAGGAAAAGGCCCACCACACCAAATCCAAGGGCAAAACCCCGCTGAAAGGCCCCACCAGGAAAAAACGAGCTTATGTTGAAATAGAGTATGAACAAGAGACAGAACCTGCCTCCAAATCAAAAGCTACCTGACTCCTGCCTGGCTGGGTTTAGACTGGAGTTTGGGATTGGACAATTGGACTTGGAATCCATCACTTTTCAAGGACCTCTGGGGGTGGACTACTTCCTAATACACCTAGTTCAAGGATTTTTAAAAAATTATTATTTAAACAAATAAAAGATTTTTGATAGCCCGTGACAAAGAAACCAGCAGGAGAGAACTGTGGCTACTGAATGGGAAGGAAAGGGAATGAAAGCTGCAAATGGAGAGGATCTTGACATGGCCTAAGTGTGTTCAGACGTAAAAGGCCTGATCTTTAAAAGAGTTACTGAATACTGAAGAGAGGCCAGCGCTCCCTCTTCAATTCCAATCTAAGGCTGGACTGTACAGTGTATTCCCGTTGGACACACAAACCCTGCTTCTGTGGGGGTTTCTTATCTGCAAAAGCACACAATTATTTTAAATAAAAAATATTTTACTGTATAAAAATCAGGCTTTGGTGAGCAGCTGCTGTTTCAGGTGTCTTTCTGCACCTTCCTGATGCACTCTCGGATGGTGTTGTCCTCACAGCTGTGGTAGATGCCTTCCAGCAGGATCTAAATAGGAAAGCACAAGCACCAGTCACTGCATGAAGCTCCTTCTGATGCTGAGGGTGTGGCTCAGGCATTACCATAGGGGTGAGAACCAGCCTCCCTGTACTTCCAAAGGTCTCCAAGTCCTCCACGCTGTGGAGTTGAGTTGGACAGGAGGATTGCATAGGGACTGGCAGGCTGCATCTCTAGGCTCTCAGAAAGCTGGGCAACCGGATGGTCGGGCTGTTTAGTTATCAATCTTACCTACCTACTATTTTGGGAAGGCAAGCAAAAAAAAACAACACAGCCCTGTCTGTTCTAGTAGCTACAAGCAATTTGACTTTCCCTTGTAAGAAATAAGGGCAAGAAGAGTCAGTGGAGCTTAGCTAGAGCCTCTGTCCCCCCTTGCTCACCTTGACGTGCCCCTCTGTGCACCGATCCAGCAGGAGGAGGCAGTCAGTAGCACCCTGGAGCAGGGCTGTTTTCACTGTCTCGGGTGTCAGGCTTACGTCAGTCCGTACGTCCCATATCATTCTGAGCAGGGCTTTGAGGAGCACGCTGAGCCTGCACAGCATCCTGCAGTGGAAAACAACACGCGCTCTTCACTATGCGCAGCCTTGGTGCAAGCCTGGCCTAACCGCTGGCCAGCAACAACCAAAGGCAAGGCAGCGCCTGCCTCCCAGTCACCTATGCCTCTTCTAGACAGCCACTGACTTCAGGCAAAGTGTCAGTCTACAGTGGAGGTTCAACAATACATTAAGGGCAGAAGGCATGAGAAAAATCCATCTGAAAAGCAGTGAGGGGAGTTTAGAACAGCACCTGCCATGTGCGCCCTGGGCAGGAGCTGCTCTCCAGGACAGCTGCAGAGTGTTTTCCTCTCACACATTTAACAAGATTTGAGAACTTTACTCAAAAGCACACAAACCTTTGGCCAATAACAGAGTGGCAACAGGAAGCTGCTTGTTTGAATGCAACCGCCAGAGGGAGCTTGTAGCCCTTGCTAAGAGCTGCATACAAGGGACCAGCATCCAAATGAAGTGCCACTCCACTCATCACAGGATCTGCAGGCACGAACCAGGCCAACACTTTGCCTAGCTCTTGGGCTACATGTTCCTCAGCTAGGGAGCACATCTGTTAGTGACCTCACAGCTCTGAGGGGAAGTACAAGTTATGCACCATGCTTGGTGATCCATCTCTCACTAGCACCAGGGTTTGCCCTTCATTGGAGGGTGGAGGCAGTCCCATTTTGCTGCCTCCATCTACTGTTTCTTACAGATACCTTGGCCAGGCATGCTGTATGGTGCATTTCAGCGTCTCCAGTATCCCCAGTCTGGCTTTCTCCTCTGGCCCATCACAGATCTCCAGGTATGCCACAATCACCCGCTCCAGCCTCTTCAGATGACGTGCTATCAGGATGCCATGTCTGCCAAGACAAAGCAGCAGGTATTTGGAGGGAATGGACCCTGGAGACTGGAGTCCTTGTGCAGAAAGTGGCTGTGCATGCACCCCTTCCTTGCCCTGGCACACAACAAGACACTGGAGAGGCAAGGTGCTGGCGCTCACCTCTCCACAAAGGCAGGCAAGGTGTGGGCATACACTCTCCGCAGCGCCAGCCGGTGCTCCGCCTCCATGTGGGTCAGAACCAGCTGCAGCACCTCATCGGTGGGTGTAGCTAGTCCAGTTGCCTTGGACAGCTGCTGGGGAGATTTCTCTAGTACAGGCAGCAAGTCCAGCAAGCAGAGCAGCACAGCCTAATACAAGGAGGAGGAAGTCAGTATGCTGCAGCTCTGGTATTCTACACTATCTGTATACCAGAGGTATACGTGATGTTCCCTTCATGGTCCTTCCCTTCCTGGCCTCTCACCTGAAACTGCCAGCTGGCAGACCAGGAAGGAACATTACCCTTGAGAACTAACCACAATCCAACTCATTTCACTTTACAGCCCTTGATAATAACCTGAAGTGAGATTAGAAATGGTTGTCTAAGTGGAGTTTCAGAGCCCATTCCCAATGCTCTGAGCCAGCCAGTCCTGCTGCCATTTTAGTGGATGAAGATTTAGATTCAATTCTAGCAGCTTACCTGGATGAGCTGGGCTTCTCGGGAGTAGAGGTGGTTGTACAGAGCATGGTACACAACCTGAGCCCTGTTAAACTGGCACAATTCAGCAGCTGGCTGCAACAGAGGAAAAAAGCATGTATTCCCATGCACCACTTTCAGCAGATTCACACAAAGCTGATCCCTACAGCCACGTTAGAAAGAGAACAGCCTCCTTCTCAGCTATGCTCCAGAGTACAGGGAGATGGCAACTGCAGATTTGGGCTTTACAAAGCTGGGTTATGGAAACGAACCTTGGAGGGACAAAGTTAGCGAGACAGCTGGTGATTAGAGGGACCTGGAGCCCAGGATAACAATGCTTTCCACTGACTCACTGAGTAGTCTCACCCAAGTCACTGGATTACTGAGGCCTTTTGTTTTTAATCTTCTTATAACTGGGAAAACACACACTGGCTCAGCAGGGATGCAAGAGGGGAAATATATGTCTGCAAAGTCCTTTGAAATATTCCAGTGAAAAGAAAAGAATTACTACCATTAGTAAACTTGAGCTCTAGCTCCTGCTTAAAGCACACGACAAAGGACAGCAGCACATGAAAAGCCCCAGGTTAACCAACATAAAATCTGAGAACCCCACAAAACCTAGCACAGGCAATGGGGAATGCAACTGATGCCAGCTGGAGATTTGCCTGGCAACTTATAAATATCTCTGATGGACACCCAGGTTATGATTCACACACAGATGGATATGGATAGTTCCTGGCTGCCATAATTACTGCAGTGTGAGCACATGGTGTGCCATCTCTCATGTCATCCCAGAGCTTAATAGCAGAGCCAGGAATAGGCATCAGGGGGCCTGACACACAATTTTCAGCTCTGACCAATTTCCCCACGTTCCCCAACAGCAGCCTGGTTTCTCTTCTGCTTGGCACTGATCCTTCCTTACCACATTGAGGATGATGTGATGCAGGCAGAGCACACCCAGGATTTTATTCTCCTCCTGGTAATCATCAGAGATCAGCAATGATGGGGGAAGAACACTTTCCAGGTAACGGCTCAGCCACGGCCGGGTGACCTGACGCAGCGTCTGGGAGAATACGTGCTTTGTGGCGGGGTTGCATTTCCATGTCTCTCTGGAAACATGGGAAAAGCAATCACTATAAGTGTTTTGCAGCAGCTCTCACATCAACCATGATTCAGCACATAAGCCAGGACTGGCCTCTTAGCCAGTTAAATCAAACTATTTCCCTAGTTAATACAAATAGCTCCAGCTGTTTTCAGAGCCCCTCACACTTCAGCCAACAAGAAAGTGATGAAAAGATCTCCAAGAAGAGAGCAGAGAGGAGATGCCAAGTAAACCTCATACCATCACTTCTTTTTTCTGACAAGTCACCAACGATTTTGAGGAATTTAATCGGGGGGTCTGAAGTAGCTGTGGCCTAGTTTCCTGCAAACGGATGCTTTAGTCAGTGGCAAATATTCCACTGATTGCAAAGGGAGCTGCAGCCCCAGACATCCACACTATTCACTTGGTTAACACCTACCAAACAGGCCAGAGAGGCAGCCAGCAGCTTTCTTTATGGAGCCAATCCATATTTCCCAGAGGAAATCCGGTATTTACCCAAAACTGCTTCTCTCTAATCTGGATGCTCCCAGTGACCCCCGCTCCCTGCCCTGCCCTGGGAATACAGCTTATTGCTGAAAGCACGTGCTTCAAGAGACTTTGAACTCGACTAAGGTTCAGCAGCACCCTGTATGTCCCTGCAATGCCCCCAGCAACCCCTCAGGACTGCCATTCGGTCCCTGTGACGCTACTCACTTGGTCAGCTCTGGTTTCAGGAGCCCCATCACTGCAGCAAACCTCCCCGCCTCATCTTCATTCGTTCCCCGGAGGAACTCAGCCACCGACCCGCAATCTGCAGCTCGAACCAGCGAGGCCAGCAGCTCCTGTGCCACTGACTGAGACCTTGGGCTGGTCCACGGCCTCTCTGTACAGTGCGTTGCAGCAAAGACGTAGGTGGGCCCTGCCAAGCCACGCAGGACTGGATCCGCCACCGTGGGACCCAGCAACGCCAAGCCCTTGGCAGCTTCCACTTTTGCAAGGAGGCTGAGCAACACCAAGCCAACATCGGCCACTCGCTCGGCCACCAAGGCGTAACAGGCACTGTGGCCGGGGAGGTCCCCTGCATCCCGCTCCAGCTTCGGCAGCGCTGCGTAGCTGCTCAGCGTCCTCACCATGTCCCCCAGCACTTTGAGGCTGGGGGGCGGGAGGGCGCCTCCAAAGAGCCACTGGCAGTCTGCCGCCTGGAAGAGCGCACTCAGGTCCCTGAGCATCCCAGCCTTGGTGCTGCTGCGGGCTCCCCTGCCTGACAGCAGCAGCAGGAGTTGGGACAAAACCTGTTCTGCTGGCGGGACAGAGGAAACAGGCTGCCCGGGATCTCCGGGCTCTTGCTGGCTCTCCAGCTTCAGGGATGCCAGCAGGCTGCTGAGCTCCATGGCCCTGAAGGCGGAGGGACCACTCCCCAGCCCCAGGCCTGTCGCAGCTGTGGGCCCACAGCTCCCAGGGAGCCTGCAGCACCAGGGCAATGAGGGGACCCCAATCCCTCCTGTGCCCCCACAACCCAGCCCTGCCCCTGGGCTGGGGTCAGCCCCTGGTACCCTTACAGGGCAGGGTCCTGGCTCCCCTCCTGTGGGGCTGGCACAGAGGCAACC